GACTCTGTTGTATTAGCTACTTTTAAGTAAATTAAATTTTTGATTAAAAATTTATATTGTATATAAACATACATATGCAAATATATATATGCTTGTATAACTATGAAAGAAGTTTCCTCATGAAGCAAGGATATTTAAAAAGATCTAAAATGACAGAAACCTGACCTATCTCATGCTTTCTCTTAATCATTATTGCCTAATAACAATTTCTCTCAGTTTAAGTTTAGAACTCTCTTAGTCTGCTTTTTAATGGGTGCTGCTGAAGTCCTTGTTCTGCCTATTTCTCTTTGGAGGTAAGATCTTGTTCTCAGCTAATTAGAAAAGTACTCTCTCGAAGAACTCCCAATTCCCTGGTTTCACCTCACCAGTGAGTACCTATTATGTGCCAGACCCTGGCCAGGTCCTCAAAATTTTGTTACACTAAGCACATAACTGTTCACACCACAGGAAAAAGAAAGGGCAAAACCTTAATTTGTCTCCAATTTAACCTTACAGGAAGGAAGTGAAGGCTTTTTCCATGATTATTTTCTCCCCAAAGAATAGAATGTGAGACAGGATCCATACATCTGTGTTAGAAATGCCATGGAATTTTTCTCAGTTTTTCTCTTGTTTTCCGATCAGTTATTCTTCACATTCCTATAGGAAAATATGCACTTCCTACACAGTTTTTGTGTAGATATATTTTCTCTTATTTTTGTTTTGTATCATTTTTGGAGGACATATTAGGGATCTGGTAACTAGCCTGCTGCCACTGTCTTAAGCTACACACAAATTTTATCTTTTGGTTTGATTTCACAATACTGAGAAAATACTCCATCAGACAGAGAAGTACTTGTAAACAGTAGCCTTTTTTAAATAGCTCACATTCCAAATTTGAGATACTTCTTTTAACTGGTCCTGAAGCTTAAGAGAAAAGTAGAAGGATTTTTTAAAAGTTAGTTGTCTAACATCATGTACCAACTGTTTAACTGTCCTTAACTGATATTAGTCAACTTGGAAGTTATCAAAGGATTTTACTCAGTTTGAATCTTGATTGTTTTGAGGACATTTCAAAAGTACTTTTAATTTTGAGATATTACTTTTTAAAAAGCATCAGATACATCAGTGCCTTGTAGTTCCTTGTAAGGATGCTGATCCTTTCTTTGTAAGACAGCTAACCACTGAAGCGTTTGATCAGAAGAATGACTGCATACTAACAGTATCATGCTGGGTGCTGTGTTTGAGGAGAGAATGTGGGTAGTATGGTCTGAAGCAAGAGACCGGTGAAATGTCTGTTGTAATAATACTATTAAGAAATATGGGATCTCACACCAGTGTTCATAACAGCACTATTTACAATAGCCAAGACATGAAAGTAACCTAAGTGCCAATGAATGGATAAAGAATATGTGGTGTGTATACACACACACACACACACACACACACACACACACACACACTGGAATATTACTCAGCCATAAAAAATGGAACATTGCCATTTGCAGCAACCTTCTCAATGGATGGACCTAGAGATGATCATACTAAGTGAAGTAAGAGAAAGACAAATATTATATGGTATCATTTATACGTGAAAACTAAAAACATGATACAAATGAAGTTATTTACAAAACAGAAACAGACTCAGACTTCAGAAACAAACTTATGGTTATCAAGGGGGAAAGTGGGGGAGGGATAAGTTAGGAGTATGTGATTAACAGATACACAACACTATATATAAAACAGATAAACAACAAGGATTCACTGTATACCACAGGGAACTATATTCAATATCTTGTAATAACCTATAATGGAAAAGAATCTGAATATATATATGTGTAAATATAACTGACTCACTTTGCTGTACACCTGAAACTAACACAATATTATAAATCAACTATAGTTCAATAAATAAATAAATAAATAAGAAATATGGGGTCTCATAGTAGCCATGGAGGGCATGAGAGGTGGTCAGATTCTAACTATATTTTGAAGGTAGAGCTTACAGGATTTCATCCGGGATTGGGTGTGGTATTTGAAAGAAAGAGAGTAGTTAAGGATGATTCCATGATTTGGGGTTTGAATAGATGGAGGGAATGAAAGGGGCTGATCTGGATAGGAGATTTAGAAGTTTATTTTGGGAATATTAAGATTGAGGTGACTATAAAACATCCAGAGGAATTTCAAGTAGGCAAGTAAATATATAGGTCTAGGGGCTTCCCAGGTGGCGCAGTGGTTGAGAGTCTGCCTGCCGATGCGGGGGGCACGGGTTCGTGCCCCTGGTCCGGGAGGACCCCGCATGCCGCGGAGCACCTGGGCCCGTGGGCCGTGGCCGCTGAGCCTGCGCGTCCGGAGCCTGTGCTCCGCGGCGGGAGGGGCCACAGCAGTGAGAGGCCCGCGTACCGAAAAAAAAAAAAAAATATATATATATATATATATATATATATAGGTCTGGGATTCAAGAGACAGAGAAGGGTCTCGGATGGAGTTATAAGTATTGGAATCATTAGCATATAAATTGTTTTTAAAGCTATGAGACTGGATAAGTCACTAGTAGAGTGAGTTAAGAGAGAAAGAAATCTAAAGACTGAGCTCTGGGCACACCAGTATTAAGAGATTGGTAGGATGAGTAGGAAATAGCAAAAGAGATTACAAAGTAGAAAGAAAACCAGTGGAGTGTGGGGTCCCAGAAGCCAAATGAAGAGAGTGCTTCAGGGAAGACAGAGTAACTCGACATTTCAAATGCAGTGGATAGATCAAAGAAATGAGAACTAGTGAATTTAGTGGCTTGAAGGTCATTAGTGGCCTTGCTAAATGTAGTTTCAGTGGAGTAGTGGAGTGAAAACAATACTTGAGTGAGTTCAAGACAAACGGAAAGAGAACTGGATGCAGCAAGCATAGACAATACTTGCAAAGCTTTTCCCCCATGTTGTAATGGATGTAAAGCAACAGGATAAAGCTGGATGGAGAAGTGGACCAAAGGGCATTTTTGTTTTGTTTCTGCTTTAAATGGGAAAAATTACAGCATGTTTATATATTTGTGGGAATGAGGCAGCAGAGCAGAGAAATTGATGATGCAGAAGAATTTCTGGATCAATTGTCTTGAGTAGAGATGAAGTGATAAGATCTAGTCCACAAATGAAGATAGAAGCATTGATGTCATACCTGTTAATGAGAAGAAAGCAGAGTAAATGGGCAGGTAGATGAGAGTAGGTGGATAAATGGATGATGGGACCCTCTGGAAATTCTTTTCTGATTGCTAAGTGAAAGTAAGGATGGGAGCAGAGATCTTGGAAGTTAGGAGAGAGAGAAGAAGGCGAGGATCAACTGGGAGACTGGGGGAGACGCTGGATCTGAGGATTCTGGAAAAGTCAGAATCGAAACACTGGAGTATGAATAGGTTTTGCCCAAGGCAGTGGAGGTATGGGATAGTTGTTTGGAGCTAGAAAGCTAAAAAGATAAACTAAGACCAGTTTTTGATTTATTTATCTTACCTAAATCATTTTGGGATAACATTAGTCTACAATTTTTGGACTTGGGGAAATTCTGAGGTTGCTTAGAAAAGACAAGGATAAAAAAATGTCTGACATTTGGCATCTCTACCCCTATCATGGGAAAAATATCCAGAAAATTTGAGATGTAATGTTTTAGATATTTGATAGTTTTTAAAAAAAATTATACTAACTTGAATAGAAACAAATAAATTTGTAGATCATTATCAAATATGTTAAATTATATTTTTTAGCATAGAAAGTTTTTAGGCTAAGTTTCAGCCTAAAGCATTTTGTATGGAAAATTAAAGTTCTAACAGTAACATAATGTGGAGGAGAATGTGTTTTCACTCTTTTGATATGAAGCACATCTCTAAGGTTACTGAATAGTGTTAGTCTATGGATGGATTACCACTGCATGGAAAAAGGAATGAAAAGGAAACATAATGTTTTTTCTGACATGCCAAATATCTTGTTTTCAAATGAAGCTTTGAATAAAATGGTTTCCTAAATGTCTTGTTCTCTGAAGTAGTAAAGACTATGAAAGTGTTTACTGTGCTTCTGGCAAACAACAAATTCCCAGTACCCAAAAGCAGAGCTAACATTTTTCTATTTGGGGGAAAGGAGGCATGCAAGTAACAGGTTTAGAGAACTTTTGTTTTATCAGCTCCTGAAGTTAAAAATTCACAGTGCTATCTATACACATAGCAGGCACTCTGAGCAGACTTCTTGGACCAGTAAACAAGTAAGACAGACAAAATAAGACAGACAAAAGGAAATATCTATTAGTTAATATCCATGAATTATTAGTTAATATTAGTTTGTATCTATACAGATAGCAGGCACTCTGAGCAGACTTCTTGGACCAGTAAACAAGTATACAATATAATATAATATTCTCTCCCTTTTCTGTGACAGGTTGTAAAAATTTGCTTTGAAACGAAAATCTGCTATTTCTTTCCTTGTGCTGAACAAGGCAGAACTCCGTACCTTCAATTCAAAGGTGTTTTATTTGAGCAAGGTTCAAGCTGGAATTAGATAGCTTCCCTTTTGCCTCTTCTGCTTGTTCTGAAACTACAGGAGAGAAGCACGAAACCAAATACTGAGGGATACATTGCACTAGTACCACTTCAACTAAACTCAAGCCAGATGCAAACAATTCAAGAAACAATGGCGCTGAAGACAGCATACTTTTCAGGGATGCTAGGGCCATTTGTTCCCTCTGCTATAATTTATGTTCCTATAGTCAAGGTTCAGTTCTACCACAGTTTAGGCAACTCACTGGAAACAATGATCACCGTTAGCTGCTCCAGGAGCACAGGAATTCCTTAGATGAGCACTGAGAGATTGGTAACAATACCTCCTAAAGGGCCAGGTTGCTAGGTAACAGGTTGTTTCCTTGGTCACAGTGAATACATGGAAGACCCCCAAAGGAGGCTGCAGATTCTTGGTGGACGGCTCTCATAGCCCCTCCTGGGAGGAGGATGAAAAATGTCTTCAGAAAAATAGCCTTATGAAGGCCAGAGGAACTTTATGCACCTGCAAGACATGTCTGAAAGGTAAGCAAATGAAATGCTAAAAAGTAGCCTCAGTCATTCCTTAAGAGAAAACAAAAAAACAAACATAGGTAGTATTCCTGGATTAAATTTCATTTAAAAATGTAAAATCATGCAACCTGTGTTACTGATGATGGCTGCTTGGAGAAAGAAGCCACCGTCTCCCCTATAGCAGGCAACAGGCTACAAATGCAATTCAGGTGATCAATACTGTAACAGAGAGAGCTGGACCTCTGTCTAGTAGTGGTACATTTATAGCTACACAGGGCTCTTTAAGAGAACGAGTGTGAATTTCAGGGGGAAAAACAGATAAGACAGACAAAAGGAAAAATCTATTAGTTAACATCCATGAATTATTAGTTAATATTAGTTTGTACCTATTAATTATATTTAAATGAAATTACTAGCACAAAACAGGACTTTTACTAGATCAATAAAGCCACAAATGAGATTAAATAAGAGGGCCAAAACCCAATCCTTTTTTCCTCACTCCTAAACATTAGAGCTGTTACATAAATATTTCTCAAAGCATGCTGATAATTAGACAATATACCATTAGGGGGGTTGCAAATTTCTTGAATTTTTTTGTCCTTCTATTAGTGTTGAAGTTGGCTCTCATCTTTAATAAAAGTGAGATTTGCACCTTCAATTTTCAGGATGAAATACACTGTGGTTTCATGAGTGTATGAAACGTATTTATAGCTCCCTAAATTTACTGTTTATAGTTAAGATAGGAATGATGCTTAGGAAGAGGTTCAGAAGCTGAAGCAGTTCTATTACAGAAGTTTTGTTTTTGTTAGCAAACTGTGTACATCTCAAGCAGTGTCCAGATGTTATGTTGATTTTAATGTTAAAAACTGTGTCATAATTAGAATTGGGCATGTGAAACAATAGTTTTTAAATGGGCAGAAGTTCTGTGAACAATTATAAACTTTATTTTTCCTACTTGCTAACACCCTTGAATACACTATACCAAGAGAAAGTTTACTTGTGAGCTCTGTGAAAAAGTGATCTTTATGATCAGTATTATTATTTTTAAACTAGTAAGTTTTATAAAATTATTTTAGAGACAGTGTAAAAAGTAATGCCCAGGCTACAACTTAAACTTTAACCTTCAACTTTCGAAGGAGGAAGGAAGGAAGGAAGGAAGGAAGGAAGGAAGGAAGGAAGGAAGGAAGGAAGGAAGGAAAGAAGGAAACGAAGGGAAAGGAAAGGAAAGGAAAGGAAAGGGGGAGGGAGGGAGGGAAGGAAGGAAGGAGGGAGGTAGGAAAGAAAAAGAAAAAAAAAAAAGAAAAGTTTTCTTAGTGCCAGTATTTGTTCAATCACATTTCTGCACATCATGAAATGAGTCTTAGTCATACTACTTTCCTAATATACTGTCACTTTCATTTGGAATTTTATTATAGTTTTTGTCTCTGTTCACAAGATCTACCTAATCACATGTTGTCCTTTAGTGTCTATATTCTACTCCTTTGTAGTGTTGTATGTGGTTGAATTTTCAAAATTATAACAACATAGGGAGTAGTAAAACATTCTTTTTTTTAATGTTTGAATTTTATTGTTTTTTTATACAGCAGTTCTTATTAGTCATCCATTTTATACACATCAGTGTATACATGTCAATCCCAATCTCCCAGTTCATCACAGCACCACCACTACCCCCTTGCAGCTTTCCCCCCTTGGTGTCCGTATGTTTGTTCTCTACATCTGTGTCTCAATTTTCTGCCCTGCAAACTGGTTCATCTGTACCATTTTTCTAGGTTCCACATATATGCACTAACATACGGTATTTGTTTTTCTCTTTCTGACTTGCTTCACTCTGTATGACAGTCTGTAGATCCATCCACGCCTCTACAAATGACCCAATTTCGTTCCTTTTTATGGCTGAGTAATAGTCCATTGTATATATGTACCACATCTTCTTTATCCATTCGTCTGTCGATGGGCATTTAGGTTGCTTCCATGACCTGGCTATTGTAAATAGTGCTGCAATGAACATTGGGGTGCATGTGTCTTTTTGAATTATGGTTTTCTCTGGGTATATGCCCAGTAGTGGGATTGCTGGGTCATATGGTAATTCAATTTTTAGTTTTTTAAGGAAACTCCATACTGTTCTCCATAGTGGCTGTATCAATTTACATTCCCACCAACAGTGCAAGAGGGATCCCTTTTCTCCACACCCTCTCCAGCATTTGTTGTTTGCAGATTTTCTGATGATGCCCATTCTAACTGGTGTGAGGTGATACCTCATTGTAGTTTTGATTTGCATTTCTCTAATAATTAGTGATGTTGAGCAGCTTTTCATGTGCCTCTTGGCCATCTGTATGTCTTCTTTGGAGAAATGTCTATTTTTGGATTGGGCTGTTTGGTTTTTTTAATATTGAGCTGCATGAGCTGTTTATATATTTTGGAGATTAATCCTTTGTCCATTGATTCGTTTGCAAATATTTTCTCCTATTTTGAGGGTTGTCTTTTCATCTTGTTTATGGTTTCCTTTGCTGTGCAAAAGCTTTGAAGTTTCATTAGGTCCCATTTGCTTATTTTTGTTTTTATTTCCATTACTCTAGGAGGTGGATCAAAAAAGATCTTGCTGTGATATTTGTCAAAGAGTGTTCTTCCTATGTTTTCCTCTAAGAGTTTTATAGTGTCCGGTCTTACATTTAGGTCTCTAATCCATTTTGAGTTTATTTTTGTGTTTGGCGTTAGGGAGTGTTCTAATTTCATTCTTTTACATGTAGCTGTCCAGTTTTCCCAGCAACAATTATTGAAGAGGCTGTCTTTTCTCCATTGTATATCTTTGCCTCCTTTGTCATAGATTAGTTGACCATAGGTGTGTGGGTTTATCTCTGGGTTTTCTATCTTGTTCCATTGATCTATGTTTCTATAGTAAAACATTCTTAAGTATTGGGAATCTTCTAAATAACAGCTATATATGTGGTTACAATAAAGTTCTAAAAATTTCTAAATATAATTTTGTTAATGGAACATAGAGGTATCTCAGTCTATCTTCATTGTTTTTGGTATTTTAATATAACTTCTTATTTCTATAAATATCAGTGAACCCACTAATAGGTACTGAAGTTTACAAGCTTTCCCTCTAGAGAAGTTTGATATATGTTTGTTCTTTTACTTTTGTTGTACCTTAATGTGGGGACCTATTTGTGTTTATAAGAATGCACATAGGGTTGGAACAACAGGGAAAAGCAAAATTCATAAGAATACAAGGTCGCATAAGATTAAAACCTGACCCATTCAGATAGAAATAGAGAAATGATAATTTTAGCTGTATATTTTTCAAAATTACAGGTAGTTGTGCTATGTTTTTAGAATCAACAATCTAAATAATTTCAGATATATCTGTTACAATCCTGGGCCTTGGATACTAAAATTTGAGGGATATCTGTAAAACACACAGTTTTTTAGAACAGTTCATTGCTATATGATTATTTACTCAATTTATGGGTTTAGTTCTGGGAAATTAATTTAGAGCCATCCCAAATTTGAACATAATAACTTGGTATACCAAATTTGCCATTCCAGAAACTAACACATTATGATACCAAATTACTTCTTGATTTCATGAAACTTCCTTTCCCAGTACTTTATATTATCTCATCACCATCTCTAGCATGCAGATAGTAAAATCATCACCCGTTTTACAAATGAATACATTTAAATATAGACATAGAGAGGACAGGGATTCTGGATTTTAAAAGATAAGAAGAATGGTGAAAGAAATCAAAGAGGCTGGATTGATATCTCCTTTCACCCAAATTTAATGCTCTAGAGTCCATGGTAATTTTCCTCTAGCCAGTAACCTAAGAAGTGCCTGAGTTTAGCAAGATTCCACTAGATTTGAGAACCTAGCTCAATATTTTGGGAGGAGAAAGAGCATTTGAGGATTTGGGGAGTGTCCTTTGCTAACTGAAAAATACGATTGAGCTTTTTCTTCCTTTCGAAATACAAAGCTCTCATGATGCAGCACTGAATGTAAATGGAACATTTAGAAATGGAATCACAAGCAATGCAATTTAGACAATGCTGGGTGTCTGTAAGGTGCCCTCTGGCCTTCTGGTTGGTGTGTGTCCAATATAGCCTCCCTCACCTCAAGGGCTCGGCTTCACCTCAGAAACTAGGCCATCTGCCACTTTCTCCTTCACTCTCCTTACAAAGCTACATAATCACCAACTTGACATTTGAATTAAACAGATAGCACCCTGTTGCAGCCGACAATTTATGAGGCTTATAAATTCCTGATTGTAAAGGACATTGCAATCTTCCAATGAAAGGGGCTCATGAATTAATACATTATATTATTATTGTTTTTCATCCTGCAGTATCAGCTCACCTGATTCCTTCTTGTTGGCCATTCTACACTTTTTAAAACCAAGAATAGATGGCCAATTCAGATAATACCACCTAATTTAAAGACACTATAAGTTACTCCTGACAAATGTACAGTTTTAGCCATGGCACCTCCTCTGTGGCAGCTTTATACAGCATTAATAAAATTAATTTCTCTTTCATAAGGATTTAGAGTTGTAATTTATGATAACTGTTCACTGCAGGCAGAAAGATTAAAAATGAGTAAACCAATATACCAACTAAACTGCAAGTCTAGCTTTATTTTCTTTTGGGGAGGGGCAATAGGAGAGGGTTTTAAAAACAGCTTGATGTTATCTGGAATGGTGTTCTCATAGGTTCTACTACTAAAGGCTTACCTCAGTAAACAGTCAGTGCTAAGATTTACATGTTCTATTAACTAGTAAATTATTTATCTGTAGTTAAGTGAAGCAATCAGAATAAGAAAGATCAATATTAATGATTTTCCTTACTAACAACTGCACCCTAATAAATGATACAGATTTACAGTTATTTAAAGAATTACAGTAGCTTATCTGAATCTTATTTGAACCCTAGTAATTAAGAACACTTGGTCATTTACTTGTGTGACTTGGGCAAGTTATGCCACCTCTCTGGGCCTCAATTTCCTCATCTCTAAAATCAAAATAATAATGTTACCCACTTTGTTTGGTGAATGTAATGATTAAATGAGTTAATCTATGTAAAGTTCTTAGTACAATGCCTAGCACATAGCAAATGCTCAAGAAATGTTAACTGTAAAATTATTATATTAGTAATAGTTGTCATCATGGCAATAATGTTGCAAAACAAAACAGAAAACCTTTTCACTCAGGCAGAGTCCACATCATCTTCTGAATATTAAAGGTAAGGAACCACCAGAGGTGCTAAGTGACCTGAGGTCACAGCAGTAGCTGTTTGTAGATTCCTAAGACTCACAGGTCTTGCAGTTTTGACATAAGTGATGTGCATTAAAGCAGATGGAGTAGAAGTTTGAGGGTGATCTACCTTTTCTTTTTTTTAAACTAAAGGATCAGAAATTATATTTCTTTGCTGATATTTCTCCCCAAAAAGCAGACCAAAGAGAACTTCCATATGGAATTTAAGATAGAAGTAATGGAACAAAGAAGATTTTCAGAATGTCCCAAAGGTTTTACTGCAAGATTCCAGAATACTGCCCTTCACCACTGCCCTCTGGTGTGGTGCCCAGGAAGCGTATATGAATGTGAGAGAAGGAATCCAGCCTTTGGGACCCACAAAAAGATATCACACTGAAAGAGAGTCAGACTAGTCATCTACTGGTTAGAATCTTCTCAGATCATCTGTCCTTAGCTGAAACTCTACACCAAATTCAATTCATTCCATTCTGGCAGAAAAAAAAAAAAAAAAGAGAGAGAAAAAGAAATAGTGGGGATGTTATTTGCGTATGTACTTGTGTTACTGAAGTTTTAATTACCTTCTATTATTCATAAATGTCTAGTAGTAGTCAGGGTAATGGCGCAAGTACTAAGTTAAACTCTCAAATCTGCTAATGTAAACTAAGATGATGAGATAATTTTCAGTTACCTGTAAACGTGATTTTACCTTGAAGCTGTTGGGCTTGGTCTTGTAGCACTACACAAGAAAAATGTACTGAAAACCCAATCAGCCAGATCTCTCTCATCAGACATTTTGGTTATGTGAACTTATTTTTCCACCTGTTCTCTGCTTTAAGCAAAATAAGACCATTTCTCACACTTACGAGTCAGCCTCTCATCACTGTGTAACCACCACTGAAGTTTAGAATCGCAGAGCACCAGTCACTGAAGAAAGATTCAGTCACGTTCATTACCCTTATTTTCCTGATTTCATTTTGGCAGAAAATGGCTAGCATAGTTTCATAAAGACAAGTGAACCCAAAAAAGTCAGTTCAACTTTTATCCTCTGTTCATCCCCTGAAATACTGTTCCATTTTGCCCCATTTTTTTCTCCCTGATTGTTGGCCAAAACTCTGGTCATAGATAGTAGGATTTACCTGCCTCAGGAATAATAAATTTTGCACAATGTAATGTTGTTCTTCTAATGTTTGTTAATTTGTTGCTATGGTAAGGTATTCCTTGGTAATGTCAAGAAACAGTATCCAAATTATTAAAGAATTGCTCAAGTGTAAAAGAACTGAAAGGCATATATTTTCTGACTTTTTCACATAATTGAGACCAAGTCTTTGATTTGTTATTTAGTAGCAGATGGAGGAATAATTTTCTCCTTGATAATAGGACACAGTTTTATTTTCTTAATGGCACAGTAGTGCTATTTTTTGAAATGATGTAATGGCTATGCTCTTCTACTATAGCACATCAGTTAATGAATGAAAAATGAAAAACATTTTTACATTGTACTTCATGAAGGCAACTTCAATATACAAGAAGTGTCAGTTTCTTGTAAGTAAACTTGCTGTAGAGCTACATAATAACTGTGTCATAAATATAGAATGCTGTCTCTTAAGATTCTTGGAGTCTGAAAAATGATCCCCAAAGAGTAAAAAGAGGTCAGAAATAGATACAATTTTTAGTTTTAGTTAACATGAAAAAGCATATTTAGGTATTTTTTAATTGGCTTAAAATACTAGATAGCACCAATGACAGAAAGAGAACCATATAACCATTGCTAAGGAGAAAGGGAAAAATGCAAGAATAACAGTGAATAATAAATATAGGAGAGCGAAAAAGACATTTTATATCCCAGTGGCATAACAATGGGAATACAGAGAGAACTGGACTGTTGTTAAGTGAAATGTTTGAGTATTATTTCAAAGTGAGTAAAATTGATTAAAGAACTTGAATTTTTAATATGTTTGCCACCAATTTCAGGGAAATTTCAGGGAAAATGGAAGGTCCAGATCAATGGAAAAACCAGTATGGAGTTTAAGGCTTGTTTGTGCCAAATCTGCAATGATAGCTCTACTAGGAATGATATTCCAAAATTGGGGCTGACTTTCTCGTTCATATCCCATAAGCATGTATTCACGTGTACCATTAGATTTACTTTTCTAAGATCTGCAATCTATGTAGACACCCTTACCTTGGGAGAGAATTTGTCTTAAGTGACTGTTAGCCATAAAAAAATGTGTGTAGGACTATGACAGAATTCCTAGGGTATCATTTATCTCTCCTCTAATTGGAAAAGTTGGTGTTTATAATTTGTTGTTATTGTTGTTTTATACAAAGGTATTCACATTTAAAGACTTTAAGCATTTTCTTTCATTCAGCTCTTCAGGTCAAAACACAAGCAGTCAGGAGATTCATCCATCTAATTCATCCTACACCTCCAATCTAAGTGAGTCACACACTGGCTTGCCTCTCTTGAGGAACAGAACTTTTTATTCACGTTCGGATTCTGGAATATCATCCCTGGTAAATATTTTTGATTAGCCCTTTACCTAATGATAAGTTTAAAAATGTGTTTTACCTTGGATTTCACACTTTTTAATAAATGTATAATTATAATACACTTTTAATAAGTGTATAAACTTTATACACTTATTAAATAAGTGTATTTTAATAAGTGTATAAACTTTTAATAAGTGTATTAAACCTATCCTTGTAATTTGGGGGAAAATAAAAGGTTGGTACTCTCAGTCCCAACTCAAAGAGGCAAGGGAAAGAATCTGAGGTGGAGGAAGGAAGACAAAAGAGACCAAGATGAGTAGAAAAGATAAATGACCAGAGAAACAAAAATGGCGTCCCTTCCTTTCCCCCACTGAGTTCAAATTCTGTCCCTAGTCTAAGATTTACCTCCTTTCTTTCTGGAATGTCCTTTGGCCAAATTTTCTCCTCGTAAACTCACCACTTCCAAGACTTCTCTCTAACACATCTAAGTGGAATCAACTAGGCCTTTTCTCTTTTCCTTCTTTCAAAATTGTTCCACTCATCCCACTGGATCAAAATGAGTTATTTATATGTCTGCCTCCCAAATTTCAGAAAATGAGTTTTTCAAGCACAAATGCCATATTTTATTTAACTTCGTATCCTCAGTGTCTGACAGAGTGCCTGACACATAGCAAGGGTACAATATATATTTGTGAATAAATGAATGGATTGAAATTCAAAATATTCAAAAATATTTATTGAACAAATGGATTAATCAATTGGTCCATCAGAATTAAAAAAGAAAAAAGAACAGGGTAAGACACAAATATTCACTATTCCTTTAAGAAGAAACAACGGTCACAGAACTGCAACACACTGACAGCCTTACATAGATATAACAAAGAAATGCAAAGGCTCATTTTCCTACAATGTCAGAAATCCCAAAATCAACCTCATAACTCCTTTCAAAAACAGACAGGGACTGGTGGTGCGGTGGTTAAGAATCCGCCTGCCAATGCAGGGGACACGGGTTCGAGCTCTGGTCCGGGAAGATCCCACATGCCTTGGAGCAACTAAGCCCGTGCACCACAACTACTGAGCCTGCATGCCACAACTACTGAAGCCTGTGTACCTAGAGCCCGTGCTCCACAACAAGAGAAGCCACCGCAATGAGAAGCCCACGCACCGCAATGAAGAGTAGCCCCGGCTTGCTGCAACTAGAGAAAAGCCCGAGCACAGCAATGAAGACCCAACGCAGCCAAAAATAAATAAATAAAATAAATAAATTTTAAAAATGGAGGAGGCGCATTTGCAATGAATATTAAAGGATGGATGCAATTTTAAAAATAAAATAAGATGAAAGAGTTTTAAAAAAAGACGCGTTTTTGTATAAAATTAGATGTCAATTGAAAAATGGAAACTTTATTCTCAAATACAGCTTTAGCTTAGATCCTTTCTCAGCAAGAGTCTCATGAAATAGCACCAAAAGGTAAATGGGGTGTGGCAACTACAGGAAATTTAACTTCTAAGAAATTTTTATTCTATGATAGGAGCAAGCAAAAAATTCCAAAAGCACATAACAGGTTGGGAAAGAAGCTTCCATAAACATGTAAACTGAACAACCAAGAATGGGCCAGAGACTACATTTTTCAATAATCTGAAACGTATTTGTGCTTCTTGTTTTTTTATTTTATTATTATTATTTTTTTTATGCGGTACGCGGGCCTCTCACTGTTGTGGCCTCTCCCGTTGCGGAGCACAGGCTCCGGACGCGCAAGCTCAGCGGCCACGGCTCACGGGCCCAGCTGCTCTGCAGCATGTGGGATCTTCCCGGACCGGGGCACGAACCCGTGTCCCCTGCATCAGCAGGCGGACTCTCAATCACTGCGCCACCAGGGAAGCCCTAATTAACTTTTTAAAGTTGCTCTTAATGAGGGAGAGAGCTTTTGTTATTTTTAAAATGAAGATATTGAAATATTTATGGAACAACTAAGGTTATTCAGTGATGAAGTAATGAAGTAAAAGATCAAAGCTAATTGATTATTAAAAAGCCACCTCTTCCCAATTTATTTTGAGACAGCTTTTCCCAAATTCTGCTTTACAGAATGCACTAGTCCCATGTGCTGCTCTAAGAATAAAAGTTTCTGTGGTTTAAAAGTCCAGGGGAACACTTTGTAGTACAGACTCACAATATATGCTAAGATACTAAAGGCTCAGAGAAGTCCTGTAGTAAGAGAAATGCTTAGTTCGGTTTAATCCAGAGCCTCATAAGCTTATTTAATGGTGGAAATGTTTTTCATGTTAGTATCAGTCAAACAAATGTACAGCTCAAGCAAAGCATAAACTATGCAAAATGCTGCTCTGTGAAACGAATGCAGTTGTTCCGAATATTGTAATGACATTTCTTCAAATCAAATATTCCGGTTTCATTTATATATGTGCATAACGCTGGCTAACAGAAGAATGAATCTATGGCGTATGTATTTAACATAATATTCCGTTCTGAGTAGTATGCCTTTTTGTTTGTGTTAACCTTGAAACTATCATAAGCAATGTAAAATACAGGAATTTTGATTGATTACAACCACAGTAATAGTAAACAACACAAAATTGCCCTAGATGTGATCTTGGCACATATTCTGGTCAGTAATATACTGTCCAGAAAAGGAAGATGACCAGACCTGAAATATTTCATTCAATACTGGCTACACATTTCAAGAGCAATGTCAATAAAATGGAACTCTTCCCAAGGAGAACCATGTTTTCCCTGGATATTTAATAATTTGTAAACCATGATCTGTGAGTAATAACTAAATTACAAAGAAGATGACAACTATTACCAGACACTTAAAATAGTAGTCACATGTGGAGGGATTCTTCTGTGTAGCCTCAAAAGGCAGAACTTGTACAACTGGACTAACTTAGAGGGATTACTTGGGGTCCATATAATGAAGAGCCATTAACAATTACAACTCTTCTAAAATGCAATGAGATTCTTTATGAGCTATTCAATAAATATTAAAGGACAGTTTATCAGAGGTGGTGTAAAATGGGTTCATGAATGGGTAATATATTTATTTCTGCTGTCATTTGTCATCAAACATAAATCAGTTGCAGGTGTTGGAGATGCAAAGTTGAATAATACATAATTTAGATTGGACTAAGATAACGTTTATGAGCACACCGTTAGGTAATTGGAGTTAATTTGGCTGAATGTTTGGGATGGGTTCGCATTACTTGCACCCATAAAAGTAAGTGAACTATATATCGCCAGATGATATTTCTCTTCTCTCTTATTTTAAAGCTTCCATCAGATTCTTTTAAGTACCTTACTTGGCACAAGGTAGAACAAAATGACATCCAAGGAAGTCAACTGCGTTGCCCAAGAGTAAGAGAAGGTAAAGGAACAGAAGTGTGTGGTCTTTGCGTACATGCTCCTAGTGGATGTTTTTTGAGGATCACAAGACATTACTTGGGGATTAAAAAGCTGCATTACTTGCAGGTAGAAAAATTTCCCATTTCAAGACCATAGAGTTGTTAATATAGTGAAGCCACCTTTAAAAGTATATTCTTATAGCTGATTATATAAATAATAAATGTTCAGTATTAAATATTGGAAAATAGAGAAAGAAGAACCTGTAATTCAATTATCCAGAAATAGTCACTGTGACTTTTATTTCCAGTTAGTCTTTTTTTGTATTTCTTTATTTTACATAAATACTTTATGTAAAGTATTTTACAAAATTATGTGAACAATTGTGTTTCTTGAGTTTTTTCACTTGTGAGCCTTTCTTTCCGCCATGTTATTAAACATTACCCCAAACAAGTTTTTTAAAAGTTGCAGATCTTTCCATCATAAGGGTATTATTAACTTTACTTAACCAATGATCTTTGTTGGAATTTTATGGTCATGAATAACACTGTCACTTCAGTGGATGCCTTTAAGCTGATTAATCCTACATCGGTTTTTTAAAAAGCGTAAAAAATAATCTAAATAAACCAGGTAGTCTCATTAGTATGTTCACTAAGCATTTTAAATTTGGTAAAATAACCAATGTTTTACTATTCCTTTTTCATCCTATCAGATTTTACAAGTGTACTGGTGTGACAGTATGAAGAATTTTTTATCTGCAGCCCCAATATACATAACGTTTGATTTCTATAAGTAGCTTCAATAGATAAAGTTGTGTAAGGGCAGAGAGTGTGCATTTCTCTTGTCTCTTTTGCATCCCCCATAAGCTGATGAAATAATATTAGACACAATTCCTGCAGCAGTGAGTATTTATTCTTTACAAAACATCAAGTATCTTGGCTACCTTATATCTGTATTTGCAAACTTGCAGATACATTGTCTATCGTACAATTGTAATATTGATTTAAGAAAAGTTGCTTTAGATATACTAATCTGCCCATTTCCCCACTCCATTGCATTACTTTACCCACCAATGTCTTTCTTCTTTCACTCAAACTCAATTGACAAAGAGTGATTAAAATAATATCATTTTCTTTCTTATGTTTTAACTCTGCCATATCTATTTGCAGCTAAGCGCTGGCTTATATAAGAAAACGTTATTTTATATTATAATGATTTATATTATATTAATTTATTTTATAATAATAAAATATTATTAGATAGTACTATTAGAGGTAAATTAGAACCTCTCTTTGGAGAACTTAGAATATTTTTCAAAGAGCAAGAAATTATGGGGAATTAGTGACATGTACACACTTCTATTTTTAAAATAGATAACAGGGGCCTACTGTAAAAAAATTTTTTTAAATGAATAAATAAATAAGTAATAAAAAAGAAATTATGGGGAATTAGGAAGGAAGGAGGCCAGAGGCCGTGGAGGCCATGTGTGTCACAGGCATAGAGTTCATCAGCAAAAGAAAGAGAAAGGGTTACATCAGGGGCTAACGAAGGCAGGGTTTAATTGGCTCTTAAACTTCAGTGTACAGACAAATTACCCGGAAGTGTGTGGTAAACACAGATTCCCAGGCAGCATGCCCAAATAATCTGATATAGTTAGTCTGGAGTGGGGCCATGGAATCTGCATTTGTTAAAATTATCACAGGCAATTCTGTTGCAGATGATCTGAGGGCCATGCTATGGGAAACACTGGTTTAGGGGGCTTGGGGAGAGGCAGGAAAGGAAGAAATTTGAATAGGAAGTGAAAACTTGAGAAAGTAAGGGTGTTGGCATTTATGTGCGCACGCATGCACGTGCATGTGTGTGTGTGTGTGTGTGTCTGTGTGTGTGTGTGAGGGGAGTGGTTGATAATTGTGCAAGCACAACGAGGCTTTGGAGCACAGGTGAAGAGCTGAGGTTTAGAGAGAACTGTAGAACTGAAGAAACTGGAAGAGATGACAGAAGAATAAAATCTAGGTGTAAACTGAAAATGAGCATGTGTAAAGAGTCCTGTGGTCTCCCTCCTTCCCTGATTTAAGCAGCCAAGTCATGCCCTGAGGTCATCACTCAGCAAACCCGAGCCTTCGTGATGACCATGCTGGCCATTTATGCAGAGGCTATCATTGCTCTGCAGAGATAAGGCACATTTTCCTTCTACAAATCATTAACAACACCCATTCTCTCGCAAGTGGTAAAAAGAATGGAGCATGATCTAGGGGATGGGAAACAGTGGAAAATCCCATCACCTCAAACCGTGAAGAAAATAGATGTCCTTTGTTTGTTGCCCTAAATTTTGTTGAAGTGTTTGGTTTTTTTGCTTTGTTTTTTGGGGTTATTTTGTGAGATGGAGAACAAGTGCATTTCAGAAGCATTCTGATAAGAATGACCCTCTTTCTAGATTAGATCCTGAAACACCCATAAGACTACTTCAGTTGATCTCAGTTGCTCAAACTGTACATCCAGGAAGAGTCCCTAAGAAAAGAAAGGTTAGCTGGTGTGTGATAAACAGCAATATCCCAAGGCTTTGACTGCCAGATAGAGACGGACTTAACTCCTCCCAGTTAAACAAAGCAAAAGAGCAAACTGTTGGCAGAATTCTTTTAGAGAATAGATTCTTTCTGTTTGAAAATCTCCCAGCAAGTTAATTCAGTCACTGCTGTTAGGAGTTACTAATCCATGGAGGGGACAAAGAACAAGCTCAGAGATGGCAGGTGAAAGCCAACATCCCTGGGCTGCCAGATATTCCAGACTTCAGTTCTCAGCTGCTAAGATATATCTTCAATTATCAACCAGGTCTGAGTTTAAAAAAAAGAATCCCATTTAATAGAACTCCTCACAGTGGAAGAGACCTTCGGCTTCCGACTTCAAAGAAATCTTTGAAAGCTGCTTTAGAAAGAAATAATTGAAAGAACAGGAGATTGATAGAACTCGAACAAACAATACAGGGCAGAGTTTAATAACTCTGGGGCATCTACTGCACAAAGAAAGCCACCAAATTTGGGGGGGGGGTATTCAAGACAATAAATCCTGAGGTTTCCCCAGTCAATTAGGTGATGGTTCCAGTTTTTCCAGTTCTACAGCTTTTAACTCCAATCATCCTAATCAATGAACAAGACCATTTCCTAGCACAAGGATATTTTATTTGTAAAGTGATTGGGAAACTACCACCTTCAGGGGTAAGTGATTCCCTGGGTGGCAACATTACAGTTTGTTATGAGAGAAATGTCTAAAAGGACAGGTTAGATTCTTGGCTTCCACCTGTGCCTGATGAAAAAACTGATGTTTTTGTCAATAATGGAATATTGGACTGTTGCTCTTATCGCCTTCCATAAATCCTTCACAAACGGACTCATTATTTCCCATCACAGTCTAGATGAACTTGCCACAAAAGCAAAGTTTGTTCCTGACACCTTCAATATCTTTTCTATGCTCTTTTCACCTTTGAAATTAGGGGAATCATGAATTCCAGAAAAATGGAGTTGGGGGGAAAGGGGTACAAATGGTGCCAGGTCTGACTCAAGAAATACAATATATTAGAGTTGGAAGGGAATTGAAATCATTTAGTTTAGGATTGCTGTCAGGGGCTTGGTTGGCATCAGAGCTGAATGAAGTTTGCCTGGGGTAGCATGATAAGAGTGTAGGGGTCTATGGCAATAAGAAGCCTATGTTGGTGTAAAAGTATTAGAAATCAGTATTTTTTATAAAACATTATCAACTTCAAACATAATTTCTCACCAAATTCAGCCCTTGATGGGCCCTTGATGCTAGTCTTCCCCATATTTTTGCAAACTTGGAAAACCGAGGCTCAGAAAATTAAAATTAATCATCTGGAGTCACACAAGTACCTGCTACTTAACTCCAGACTGGAAACAAGATATCCTTTCCCTAACCCTGGAAGTTATGTGCAAACCCGATTTGGAACACAATACGGTTGGAAAATAGTAGGAAATGAATTTGGAAATGGAGATTGGGATAAGATTGTAGAAAACCCTGCTTGATGAACTAGGCTTTTTCATCTTTATTTGGTATGCAATAAGAAACCTGAAATGTTTTGAATATGTCAGTCCTGTGGTAAAAGCTGTGTTTTACGAGAGCTGGGTGGCAATTTGTGTCATTTATGTTGAAGGAGAGAAGATTGCAAACCAGGAGATCCAAGAGAAAGTAGTTACAGTTCAGGTAGGAAGATATGAGGGTCTGGACATTGAAAGGGAAGGGATAGGTTCTCAAGGGGAAAACTGGTAGGACTAGGTGGCTAATTGAATTGAGAGACAAAAGAGAAAGAAAGTCAGGAGTGACTTCATAATCCCTAAAGAGAAAATTATATGAAAATTAAAACCATTATACTGATGATTTTTCTCACTTGCCTGGGCTAGAAGTAATTTATGTAAGATTAAAAGTTAACTCTACATGTTGACTTTTCCGAACAGTTAATAGAGGTCATTCCTCCCCTTTAATCACTCTAGAAAATCATCAAATTATCTCTGAACCTCAAAATATTTGCCCAGAATTAAAGAGTCTAATACAGAATACAGATATTATATATTTTAGCTAGGACATTTTTCCTAGCAATGTGCTAAATTGCATTTAAAAAGAAATCTATAGGTGAGAATTTAAGCTAAAGGTGACATCTGATCCTCTGTGGAAACCTAGACCATAGGTAGCAAACTTGTGAACAATTTAAATTAAAATAATCTGCAACCCTATTTTTTTTCTGATAACTGTATTCACTCCACTGTAAACTTAAAAAACGTAAAACAGATGGAAAAGAATAAACTTGCTGATTTGTTTGCTATTTCCTCTCTCTTGTATAACTCATCCTGTGATGGGAGGGCCTAGGAAGTCAGCCCATCAGAAATGCCACAAGGCTTCCTGCAGCAGGAAGAGAAACAAAGGAACTGGGTGGCTTAAATATTTAACAATCATCTCGTGATTAATTTACTCTTGTCATACCTGCACATCTGATTTAGTGTCCTCAAATCAGAGGTTTCACTTTGTTTTGTTTGGAAGACATGAAAGGAAAGTTATTCAGCAAATTTCAGGAAAAATGATTTTCAACAATTAGAAAGTGTACAAAGTGGTCAAGTCCTGGCATCTTTTCTGTCCCCATCTCTTCCCCAACCCAGTTAAGGCAGGCAAGCAAGAGTGTGTTAAGTCGCATAAATACATTTTGTTACTGCTTACACTACGTGGGCCTAAGAGTCCAATCCTGTCTCCCTCAATCCAAATATCTAGTGGAAGTTTAAAACAACCGGTCAAGCATCCAGTGAGGCTGTCAATCCTGTCTTCCTAAACCTACTTCCAAGATCTCACCTTGTGATTTCTGCTCAGGACCCTCTGCGGAAGAGTTGTTCTTCAGACAGGAGTGTACCTTGCCTCCACGGAAAAGAGTCCTTGAAAAAAACAAATGGGAAACATGGCTGCAAGAAAACTGGGAGGACTGCAAGGTGAGAACATAAAAACAGAAGAAGAAAAAAAAGCCTATTTCCCTCATTGATTAAATTACGACACTTTTTTTTTTTTTAAGGGTATTTGCCAGTATAAACATCAAAACTTTAAGCACATCTTTAGAACTTTCTCTGAAAATAGTGGTGTTTGGGCTCTCCATCTCTTTTTCCATCCCTTCTCTTCATCAAGACTTGCTACTTATTTTCTAATCTTTATTTTATCTTGATATTGCTGAAACTTTGGAAAAAGTTTAAAAGAATTGAGAATGAAATTGGGTTTTTTTGGTAATAAAAAAGTCAAATATTGAACAATAATCCTTATGAGAGAATTTATGATGCAATCTTGAATCCTTTGAACAATGCAGTAAGCCAAAATTTTTGAAGATTCAGGGCAGCCAGTTGGGTCTGAACAGAGCTATCCTGGAACAAATCAAACTTTCACCAGTGAAGGATATGAGCTGTGGTTTCTTGGTGCTGAAAATGACTCCGCTGGCTGAGCCACTGGCATTGAAACAGTCCCTGTAGTTAGCCCGACCACTACCAATCTATGGGGCTGCCATCACTCAAGCTTCTAATTCCAATTGGAGCAAGTCATGTTTAAGCAGAGGACTGAAGATTTAACTGGGAAGACTAAGTCATTGGTAGCAATAAAAGAATAAATCAACTTCTTTATAGCAGAGTAAGATGTCAATATTTTTTCTTCGAAGTGATCAAATTGCACGTGAGGATTTTAGGAAATCTTCCCCAAATGAGACTTACTGGGATCTCCTGTTGCCTTTTTTGTTTTACAGATTGATCTTGTATGTTGTAGGATTATAGAATTAGGGCGTGGGAAGGAGCTTCAGGGAGGGTCTGGTCCCAACTCCTTCCTTTCAAAAAGGAAAGGAAAGTTTAGAAAGAGAAATGATTTGCCCAAGGTCACACAGCTAATTAGCAGAAGACAGGAAAATAGAATATTGTTTCCCAGTACAGTGTTTTCTTTCTAAAATTAATTTTAATTATTCTTATATAATGGATGGATACATTCTACTCTTTAAAAATTTAAACAATGCTCCTATTTATTTATTTGAAAAATTTAAACAATACACTTAAAACTTTGACCTCCACTCCCAGGATTCTTTTTAGAGGTAATCATTCCAGTGTATACATGCATTCGTTCTTTATAGCTGTCATTTAAACCATGGATATATTGTAAAGGCCAATGGAACCTTGCTAATAAACTATCATAGAAAGTTTAACTGGCCTTTAGATAACTATACTGTCAGAGAATGGCTAAATAAACTTTAAACTATCACAGAAAACCTTACTGGGAAATAGTGGTCAAAAAATTCTATTTGAGAAGGTGATATTTAATGTAGAAATGATAAATATAATATCTTAATATTTCTTTGGTTTTATTTTAAATTAAGACCTTTTATATTTTGGGAAAGTAAAATTTAAAGTAACAAATTTTATAATGTTTAATGTCTAAAAATATCAAGACCTTATCTTTTTAGATAGATATCGATATTTCCCTAAAATAGTAAATTATTTTGCTTCAAATTTTTAAAAAAATGTCATTTTATGCAATAATTTCTATTCACAGAAATTGATGGTAAAACTTTGGAAACAAAAAGTTAAGTTGACTTTTAGCAATAGAGTTTACAAGAGCAATGCTACCACTGAGAGTGGTTTTAATTTCCTTGGGATCAAAGTTGGGGCTTCCCTGGTGGCGCAGCAGTTGAGAGTCTGCCTGCTGATGTGGGGGGCGCGGGTTCGTGCCCCAGTCCGGGAGGATCCTGCATGCCGCGGAGCGGCTGGGCCTGTGAGCCGTGGCCGCGGAGCCTGCGCGTCCGGAGCCTGTGCTCCGCGGCGGGAGAGGCCACAGCGGTGAGAGGCTCGTGTAAAAAGAGATCAAAGTTGACTGATGTTAAAAGTAAAAATAAAATACCCACTATCTCTGAAATATGCCAAGTCATCCTTATGTATGTATCCCAGGTTATTTTTAAATAAAATCATATTTTCCATCTTTTGAATGATGGTATCTTACTCTGAAATGTATATAAATGTGATTTCTGAGTATTTCCAAGGAGGCTAAAGATAACTAATCATTTAAAGCCAAACAGAACTTTACCTCCTCTACTTTTTACCCCTAGAAGTAATTTACCCCTAGAAGTTTTACCCCTAGAAGTTTCAGAATCTGTTTGAGGGTCTTTCCCTCTCTCCCTGATACACCGCCCCCCACCAACCTTGTGTGTAATTCTAATCAGGATCCAGTCAGGATCTTCACCTTCCCTCCCTACCTTGAGAAGCTCTGCAATAATTTTGTGTTTGGATGTGTGAATATTTTAGAAGACCAAAAAACAAAATAGTAAAAACTGCTGGTTTAAATATGCAACACATATTAATTTAATAACTATTTTTAAAAGTTGATAAAGCACTTGCTTTTTCTTTTTATTTGTTTTTCCTTCAGAATTTGAACCTTTCATTTCAGGATTTGGGGGACCCTTATCAAGTTGCAAATTTTAACAGGATTCTTAGAAGACTAATTCGAGTTGAAACCCTCTGGTTAGTGGATAATTCACTGGTGGATTTAAGTGCCGCAAGATTGCCAAGGTATCTGCTCCCTAGCATGTCCAATTACTAAGTTAAAGTGAAGTCTTTGCTCTATGGGTACGTGACCATTGTCTGTTCATACTGTGGCTCCTCTCATGTGGTCAGGTCTTAGTGAGAGTGCTAAGCGATGCCTGGGCAAGGCAAAAAGGGAAATTTATAAATCAAAATGTCACACTTTAGAGGGAAAAATCTATTCTTTTTCAAATTAATACTGTTATTATCAATTATTAAGGGAGTAATTTGTAATCATAGAACATATTGGCAGAAAAGCCTGCTGTGTTCCTTGCATTGTCAACTGGAAATACAATTACATTATATATACATTATCATTCTAAGTTAGTGATTTTTTGTCATATTGTCTGAACACTTGTGGGGAAAGACTCTACAGGTAGTTGACAAGAGTCTTGGCTTCAGGGTCACATTCTAATGGAGGGGTAGGGGTTGCCAATCAGAACAGTGACAAAAAAAACCTAAAAATTTTAAAATTTATATGGCCTCCTTGATATTCCAAGGACCCTAAGCTACTGAAGTTAAAAGATAATCTGTCTCTTTGCTCAGGATTGCTTGAGAACTCTGGAGAGTTGCCCTTTGCTTCACCAGGCAGATGGGTAGCTGGAGTGAGCTCTGGTAGCCATCAGAGGGGCAGACAGAGGTTCTCAGAAGAGAATTAGGAGATGAAGGAGATCAAGCAGCCACAAGAAGGAAGGGTAAATCCCAGAGCAGGTTAAGATACATCTCTGAGCTGGGCTGAGGTAGGGCAACAAAAAGAGATCATCAGGGGTGGGATAGGGAGGGTGCGGGGGAGACGCAAGAGGGAGGGGATATGGGGATATACGTATACATATAGCTGATTCACTTTGTTATACAGCAGAAACTAACACAGCAATGTAAAGCAATTATACTCCAATAAAGATGTTTAAAAAAAAAACAAACAGATCATCATAGTTGCACAGGAGAGGGAAACAGTCAGGCAGACAGAGGAAGTGTCAGAATATGCAATGGTCCCTGGGTATCTTCGGTCATATTCAAAGCCCCTTCCCAACTTTAGACAGACTTGGATAGCATTTGATTTTACTTATGTTCTTTTCAAATGACAAATTTAAAAATACCTAAATAAAAAATTTCAGAGGAATCTTAATATCACTGCCACCTTAACTTATTCAGTTACTTGATGTTAATTTGTTCAGTTTTTTTTTCCCCCAGACTCTCTTCTAGGGATAAAATAGTGATGCATTAGTTATATTTTTCTAATACACATTTAAATAAACAGACAACAACGACGAATTTTAACAGTAACATAGCCTACTTTGGAAACACTGCACTAGAAGCCCATTAATTTGGAGTATGTGAACTTGACTTGATCCAGATCAGTAAACTTCCAAATCTTTGCTATCATATAAAAAAGAAGAGAGAGAGAGAGAAACTCCAGTGACTGAAGAAAAGACTTGACCGAGTTTTAGTATTCTCTAGATGTATTCTTTTGGCCTTTCTTTCTTTAGAAATAGGATGTGTCATATAAAATTATATAATTGCAATTCAAACTTTACAACTGTGAAATCAGTGTATCAAGAGAAAAGAAAATTGATGCATGTATATTCATAGCCTCCTTCCCTTCTGCCCCAGGTGAAAAACCACACTTGGTTTGCCACTCGTCTCCCCTAACATTATCCGACTAAGGATCTGTGGTAGGGTGAATCTGAGAGGCTGAGAAAGTGGCAGGGTATACACTGAAAATGAGAGAATGACTAGCAGATGAGAAAACAACAGATTTCAAGGAGGACAGAGAGACAGGATCTGCTTGGGCTAGGTTTTCAATTAGAAATTGCAATAGTACTAACGTGCATCTAAAGATTATGTATAGGGACTTCCCTGGTGGCACAGTGGTTAAGATCTGCCTGCCGATGCAGGGGACACGGGTTTGAGCCCTGGTCCAGGAAGATCCCACATATCGTGGAGCCACTAAGCCCGTGTGCCACAAATACTGAGCCTGAGCTCTAGTACCCGTGAGCAACAACTACTGAGCCTGCATGCCACAACTACTGAAGCCTGCGTGCCTAGAGCCTGTGCTCCGCAACAAGAGAAGCCACCGCAATGAGAAGCCCGCACACTGCAATGAAGAGTAGCCCCCACTCGCCGCAACTAGAGAAAGCCCGCACGCAGCAACGAAGACCCAACGCAACCAAAAATAAAAATAAATAAAAAATAAATTTATTAAAAAAAATAAATAAAGATTATGTATAACCTAGGAAAGAGTGGAAACCTAAAGTTATCAAAGATATGATTAAAAGACTGTAAAATATCCATATGGAGAGGGAATGGAAGAAAACAAGAAAAATGACAATAATGGATGTGAAAAATTACAATGAAATCTGGGTGGGTTCAAACTGAATTTGTGTTTTTCATGCTGCTTTGTGGCTGTCCTTTCTCTTTTTAGCACCATATTTACCATTAGCAATAATTATTTACTAAATGTCTTTGTGGGGTATGAGGTTCATAAATAAGTACCCTGTCTCAGGGTATTAAACCTCAGCTTATAAAGGAATTTTTCCTTTAGGTAAGGTGTCAGTGATAGATTTGGAATTATTGTCTCTACTTGCATGGTTTTATACAATTACAGTTTTAAGGCAAAAATATGAAGAAGCATTTCTGTCAGGAAAATGTATTCAACCTAAATGCCTAACGCACATTTCTTTTCCTAAGGATAGCTTTTAGTTTTCTTTGGTATAAAAAGGCCTTTTTTTTTCTGATTTAAAATGCTATTTCTCAATATAGAATTTAACTACAGAAAAGTAGAAAGAAAGGAAAATAATTAGAATCTCACTACTTAGGGGCAATACTCTTCAGAAGTTATTATGTTTCTTTGGGTGAACTTTTATATTGCTGAGATTACATGCAGCTCTTCACTCTTTCATTCAGGACTTATTGAGAATCCACCATGGACCAAATACAATGCCAGGTACTGAGTGTATACATTGGGAAAAAAAACAGATTCCTGCCCTACACAAGCTTACAGTCTTATATATCCTGTTTATTTTCTCTTAATATTTTAATATACATATTTCTCTTTTCTTCCCAACCACATTTGTAGAAAATATCACTGTCACACCTTTGAGGGGCTATGGTCTAGGTGAGGCATGCTGGTGTTTTGCAAGATTTAGTAGTTTACCATCCTCTTTAGGAGACAAATGACAAGATGTTTATATTTTGTGTCCAGCTGCAGAGTTTTAAATATGAACAAAAACCATCTCACATCTTTCAAACAATTGCCAAAGATACCCCAGATACAGCATTTATCCTTGGCTGAAAACCATATTGAGACTCTGGCTGGGCTCTCCAGTTTGCGGTGCACGCCATTGGAATCCCTTACGCTCAAGAGGAACCCTTGTGAGTTTCACCAAAACTACCGGAAACGGTGAGGCCCCAAACGCCTTGTCACCTTTTGTACTTCATTGAATATTATACTTTTAACAGTTGTTCCCCTCTTGATTAAATTTGCTCAGCAAGTATTTATCTTCTTTACTATGTGTTGAACTCTTCATGCTTCTAATCTCACTAAAGAACTTTGAACTGATTTGTGTGTGTGAGTTTAATCTTTAATACACTCTTCTCTCAGTTAATTTATGACTGCTGTACAAACTTTAGGCTCCTCCTGTAATGTGACTTTACATACACTAAGATGTTTCATTTTAGACTTTCAAATCCTATGCATTTTCTCTCATAATGTTTAATAGATACTATATCTTTTTAAAAATTTCTAAATATAGGTTCCTATCAAGGTCCATATGACCATCTTATAAATTGTTTATTCTCTGGCTTTGTTTTCATCCCTTTGGGCCACAAGGGCACCATTAATTAAGTGAATACAAAAAAGTAATTGATTTGATCTACTCTAGTGGTGGAAAGAGCTGGAAAACCTGCCAAGAATAAACCATTTTTATTTCTTTGTCACTACTGGGAACATTCTTAATGATAATAATGGAATCTAAACAACCTTGGAGTGTGCACCAAGTAATATGGTAATATAGTAATATTTATCTCCAGCTAATTCCCAGCACCACTATTAGTGTACTTACAGGAATTAAAAGGGTGAAAACAAGCCACTGAATTCTAGAACCTATATTTGCCCCCAGATGACCACAAGTCATCTCATCTCTCAGTGTGAATCCGTCATACAGAGCCTTAGATCATCTCTAGACTCCATTTCCAGTCTATGATTATAGTGCTTCCTCCACATCCAATTTCAACAAAAGACAGTTCTCATTACCTTCCTTTCTCACACTGCCATTTTCCCAAGACAGCAACTGTATTCCAGAGGCCTGTATAATATTAGACTCTTCAACCCGTGATGAACAATGAAAATTGTCAAAGTAAAAATTCTAATCTCTGTTGGTACTACATAAATCTCATTACTGCCGTTGTCTTCCCTCTGATGTAGTCTGAAAGCAAAATTTCATATTCTGTGACAATAAATTCTCAAATTGCTTTTACATAAGTGAAAACTAGCAGCACAGTTGCTTTAATATTGAACTAATATTTAACCATAATAATGTTTTGAAGTCTAAAATTCTATTTCCTACAGTCAGAGGAGATTTAGCTGGACTTTTCAACATTATTCATAAAAAAGCACACTTCTAGTCATAGAGATAATTTATTAGTATTATATTTCAGTTTGGTTAATTTATATGTGGGATTTTAGAAAACACCTTGGTCCCAACTCAGTCACTTGCCTCCCTTCAAAGAATTCCTTGTAACAGTAATGTTAGATTAATTATCTGAAATCTGATATGCCCTGAGGTCTCACTATAAATCTGTCTTCAGAATTCATGATGTGGTATAGAATTATGTGAGAATGAGGGATATAATGAGGTTGTCCATTTTCCTAGTATTCACTCTATTGGATTGAGTCCAAAGTGGATATATACTGACACTCATGCTATAAAAAGCCAGGTTGTATTGACTGAGGTAGTGCAGGGTTGCTTTAAACAGAAAGACGTGGTCATTTTAAAGTATGAGGGAAGGATTTAAGTATCCACTCCTGCTAAGGAACTAAGCTGAAGTCCCAAGTTCATCCAAATTTGGGTTTAGTTATCTAGCCAAAATTCCACAAGAGGACTATAACAGCATTCATTTTGTCACTGTCATTCATTTTGTCATTTTGTCTCTGTCGAGGATTTAGGCCAAACTTTCAATGGCCCTTTACATCACGATCAGAATTATTTAAGTATAAGCTTTTCTTGATCACTGACACCTAGAATTGTGACTGTCTTTCCCTTCCTCCTTTGTTTCAGATCCTCCAATAAGAAGACAGCACAGTTCAAAAGAGAAAGGACTTAACGATAGAGCTAATAGTATAAGTCCCAGTAGGTAGAGGGCAGTCCACTTTCTGGGACACCCACAGGCAAACTCTTCTACCATTCTTCAGAAGTCAGTGTTATCTTAGTTCACCATAGTTTGACTTTTTTAAAAGAAAGTGACTAGGAGTTCCTGCCAGCTAAGTCTGAACGTTGGAGCCAGAAGACTTAGCTTTTAATCTTTGCTCAGTCACCTACAGGCTTTATGATCTTGGATAAGTTACTTAAAATGGGGGATAAAAACTAACTTGACAGAATTGTTGTGAGGATGAGATAATGTGCAGAAAGCATTTAGAGCTAAGAAAGTCATGCAGCCAATGGGAGCATTCGAGGAGGTTGGCACCATCATTAGTTGACTCAGCACATCACCTGAGAGGTTTCAGCATCTTTCAGCCTGGGCCAATGCCAGCCATGCATTTCCTCTGGCCTGAGCCCCCAGAACTCCCCAACCAGGAAAGCTGTCCACTTGAAAGAAAATGCTGCTTTGTAACACTGCTAGGCATACAACTACTGTTTAACTGGGTTGACATGAAAGACTGCTTCCTGAACCTGGAAGTGACTGTCTAAATTGGAAATGTGAGCTTCAAAAATGCTCTCTGTCGGGGCTTCCCTGGTGGCGCAGTGGTTGAGAGTCTGCCTGCCGATGCAGAGGACACGGGTTTGTGCCCCGGTTCGGGAGGATCCCATGTGCCGCGGAGCGGCTGGGCCCGTGAGCCATGGCCGCTGAACCTGTGCGTCCGGAGCCTGTGCTCCACAACGGGAGAGGCCACAACAGTGAGAGGCCTGCGTACCGCAAAAAAAAAAAAAAAAAAAAAAAAAAAATGCTCTCTGTCAAGGCAAAATCACTCAGCACAAAATTATTTCCCACCCCTTCTTATAACTCTCAGCCAGAATTCTTCCTTAACTATTACTAAACAACTTGGACTTGCTTTACTCTAAAAAAGAAGCCAAAAAACTTTTAACTTTATAATGTGTACATATATTGTGACCTCATTCTTTCTCTTATGGTTAGTTGGCTAAATCCACTCATTGATTTTTTTTTTTCTTTATAGGACTTTGTAAAAACTGGAATGACATTCTTTTATAAAAACAGACTATGCAGTTCCACTCCTCTGCTCAATACTTAGAATCTGCTGAACTATCTAGTAGCTCACTGAGAGGGCAAGCTATGGGAGGGTCATCACCTCAGTGAACGTGAATAGTACTTTACTGTAACCTCATTGCAGAGACAAGGAAAACAGAATAAAGTGATAGCCACTCATCTTTCTTGTAACAATAGGCAAAGTCTACTCATTTATAAAGAGAGTAAGTGAAATACAATGCTTTTGTTCAGTATAGTTACTTTTATTTTTTCTTTAACTTTTGCTTTAGAGTGTTCTCCTGTTTGCCAAACTTAAAAATGCTGGATGGGATCCTGAAGCTACCACAAGACACTTCACCACCAGAAACCAATATTTTTTCCAAAGTATGTATTGTGTCCTAATGCTATCTGTATAGAAAGAAAGCAATCACTATTGTCTTTAAAAATTAATAAACAAGAAATGCATGACTAAATATTGCAACATATATATATATACATTATGTATCTATGTATATTGATTTCCTTTAAACCAATTACCTCATTTTTTTAATTCTATAACCTATCAATCAATAAATTTTGAGCACACACATTTTAAATGATTTAATTTATTTTATTTTATTAGTTAATTTAGTATTTAATTAATAACTTTTATGTAGAAATTATATACATAAAATACTATATAAATATATAATATATATTTTAAAATATAAAATTAGAGATTTTTAAATGATGGGATAAAAATTTAACATGAATAAGGGCTCTAAGATTTTCCCACGCTTCAGGGACGCATCTGGTCCACTCTCAGGACTATAAGCCTGAGTGTGCTTGGAGTGTACTGCTTTAAATATCTGAATGTATCAAAAGGAAAAGGGACAATTGGAAGTACCTTGTACAATTTTCAGCCACATTCAGTGAATTCTTCATTTTAAACATTCTGTCACTTATTAGTGATTTTCTCACACAACAGAAATTCAAGCCTTATGTTATTCATTAAATACTCAGAAAGTAAACAATAATGATAAAGCTTCTTTTTGATCAGAGAATTTCACAAGTGTGATTTTAAAATTGCCTTCCCTACATGCTAATAAAGAACACAATTCAATTTAATTGCTTTCAAAATTTAGAGAAAGGTCAACACCCAGATCAACTTATGACCTTATATTTGTCCTTATATAAAGACCAACTTAGTTGCAGAACTAAGGTTTTCCCAAGATGGTTTATTGATTAACTAGGGATCCTAGCATGAAATAAATAAAATATTTTCTGGATCCTTCTACCAAGAGTGAATGCTGCTTGTAAAATTATATAACAAAGATTCTAACAAGACCAAGACACAGTTCCTTTCCTCAAGAATCTTATGAATGATTGAAGACAACACACACATAAGACCTAAAATTCAATGAAATGTGTTATGAGTATCTATTATATGAATAAGTGGAAGAGATTTAATTGTAAATTATGGAAAGCTATCTGAGATGGATATTGAAGAAGAGTAGACTTTTCACAGGTAGCAGGTAATAGCAGACTCTTCCAGACAGGTGACACAACATGAAAAGGGGCACAAAGACCAGAAATTGTATGTGAGTTAGGAATGGGCTGGCTGCAAAAGTCAGAGAAGCATATTGACAATGGCTTAAAGAGTAATATTAATAAAAATAGCTATAATTTTTGAACATCTACTATGTATCAAGCATAGGACAGATACTATGTATCCATTATTTAAATCCTCAAAAAACTATGAAGTTCTAGTTATTCTTATTTCCTAGGCAGGAATATCTGAGGCTCAGAGAGGTTAAGTAATTTGCTCAAGGTCGGTGACACAAAAGGTATGTCACACAACTATCACATGACAAAGCCAAGATCCAAGATTCAAACCCTGAACACCTTTCAACACTCTTGCTGCCTCTTCTAATAATTTGGTTCTAATTTTAAAATTCAAGATGGTATTTTTGTGTTTCCAGGGACAGCTTCATCTTCCACAATCCATCACAAATCCTAGCATTTAATCAGAATCAAGGATTCACTATTCCTTGAACATACCTTAAACTTCCCTTGTTCAAGTTTTTGCTTCTTTCTGCAATACTTTTCCCTTGAAGGCATGCCTGAGAACATATTGTCTCCTTTCAGTGCTTGCTTTGGATTGTATTTCCTCCAAAAATCTTCCCCCATCTTTTCAATCAGACCTGCTTCCTCTGCAGTTCCAAAGTACTTTTTAAAAAACATTGGTCTTATGGTATGTTTTCTCATTAATGCCTCAACTTGATTAAAAAACAATTTTTAGACGTTGCTTGCTTCCAGAAAAACAGGGGCTTTAATCATGAAGCAAATAAGAAAGCGGGACACATTTCATTTTAGATGTTTACACATGTAACCTTCTGCCTCTCTAACTCAGGTTGGGAAGACGTTTTCAGTAAAGGCCCAGAGAATAAACACTGTAGGTTTTCTTGGCCATGTGGTCTCTGTCCTAACCACTCAACTCTGCCATTTTTAGTGCAAAAGCAGCCATAAGCCACATGTAAATGAATGGTGTGACTGTGTCCCAATAAAACTTTTGTTTACGAAAGTATGTGGCAGGCTCTAGTTTGCTGACCCCTGCTCTAAATTTTAAGGTCATGTGCTTGATTGCTTTACTCGTTATCAGTATTCACTGTCCTCCCTGGAAGAAGTGTATACTTCCGCTACTCCTTGAAGTCAGATATGTCAAGCAACTTGATTTGGCTAGTGAAATATAAGTGAGTCTGACATATGTCACTTATAGGCAGAAACTCTGAGAACCAGTTTGTGCTTTGTCACACTTTCTTTCCTTGGGCCACACCAGCAGGCAAATTTCCATTTAAAAGCTGCTCCATCAGTCTAGGTCCTGGGGTGAATATGATGTGGGGCAGAGCTACAGTCATCTTACATAGAATTCCATTTGATGCTGTACTATAGCCTAGCCTTTCCCAGCTAATATAGCTCCTTAAGTTTAGGGACTGCAATTTAACTTATTCAATGGTGTGTTCCCCCCCCCCCACAAATAGCAGGGTAGGCATGCAAAATGTTGAATAAATGGATAAATGCCTATTATAGGAAACCATGAATGGGGTAGTAGAATTACCAGGTAGGACACAATTATAATACTTTAGGTGAAATGTATTAAAAATTTTTTAATTAGAGCAATAATATTAGAAATAGACACAAGTTATGAGAGCATGAAAAACTGGGGAGTTATGACAGCCAACAAAGTGTTTTATTGTTTAAACTAGTTTGAATTGAGTTATTACCTGCAGGCGAAAACATTCTAACTGCAAGGAAAAGCATGGGTTTCATAAGAGGTGCTGGGTGGATAGCTATGAAGAATAATGGCCAAATGCACTGCAAGCAAGGGTCTCAAGATATATATCACACTATATCTAAGAGATAGCTTGTGTTGAGTTGCAATCTGATTTTCTGATCTTAAGAGGTACAGATTCTATGGGAAGTGTGGCCAGAGGGGGTTGACTTAAGTTGGTGATGCTTACCTACGCCAGAGGGAACCAATTGGACAGAGGCCAATGGACTGAATAAAAGTGAAACCCAAAATTGAGTCTACCTATTCATTGTGGTGCCAGCAGCTCTAATAGTTATCAACAATGACAGGTCCAGTAGTGGTATTGCTATTATTTCAAATAAATCTGTTCACTTGACCTGTGTAAAATACTTCCTTGCATCTTCTATAATCCCCAGAGATATGAGCCACTCACTCCCACAGCCTAAACATACTAGCAGACATACTTTGTCAGGAAATATGCAAGGATTTTTTTTTTTTTTAAGCAGCAGTAGAGCTATGTTTGTGGGAATTTTGTGCATAGGTGCCAACGATGGGTAACTTCTGGTCATATTCTATTTAACTCAATAGAACCATAACAAGCTCCCATTCTAAA